AGGGTATGTATACTTCGGCCACTGCCGTGTGTTTATATATAGTTCTGCTGGTGACAATATTTTGTTTGCAGATGATACAACTGTGTTTTGTATCAAATGGTCTACAATATCAGAAAAATATATCGAATTTGATCAACGCAATTAAACTTACTGTAAGAAATGTCAGTAAAATAGCTTTATTTGAATCAAAGGACAAACCAGTTGATCTATCTTCTCTAGTTAAATATTAATATTAACAACATTTTAAGATCAAATTCCTTGGGCGTATATCTTGATGAAGCAGTATCATTCAATTATCATATCATTATCGCTACAATGTTTTCTAGGGTGATCGATGTTCTTAACAAAATAAATCCATTTTATTAAATTTCAGCACGTTAATAAAACGATAATTACCCATGGGGTTACTATTAGATTTCACCAAAACTATGGACGAAAATCAACATTTTTGTTGCTTTAACACTAAAATCAACGTTATTCACAATTGCGCCGTTGATGACCTTTTTTTGAATTTACTCCTTTGTAATTTTCCTTATGCTACAATTTTAATTCAAAATAAAGATATTTCATAATAACCTTTGATAGTTCATCGACCAAAAGATGAGGAGCGGACATGTGTTTTTGAGTTTATGAATAAAGTTAAATGAACAAAGTTTTTGTACTGTAGTTATTTATTTTTATGAATTACTGATGTCTAGGGTGGATGGGTTTTGCAACTTAATTTACATTAAGCTTAGTACAGTAATAGTAACACACCAATTTAATATCAAAAAGATACTGATATAACATAATAAATAATCCCTAATTAAGTATCCATAAACGGATTTCAAGATGACAACTTAACTGAGCCTACAGTACGTAGTAAGTATATAAACTAAATGGCTGAAAGTCTCAAATATTTAAGTAAAGCTCAATACGATTTGGGTTTTAGAGGCCATAATTATTAGTTAATTTATGTTCATTACATTTTTTTTTACCTGCCACCCTTTTTACTTTTCTATATTCCCGAGAACGCATAAGGTCATTTTCAGAGACCTGAATGATATGTGCCTTAGACCGTTCAACCATCTTGACAAAACAAACGGAAATTTATTTCTGGCAATAATTATTATATATATTATATATAAATATTTAGTAAAACTATTGAAATGTCTGGAGTGTGATTCGAACCCGCGCCTACAAGAGTAGACTTCGACATGAACGCAGCACCTTAAACAGCTCGGTATTCTGACTTATACCAACTTATACCAAACATGGATACCGGTAATGGATAATGGTAACTTTTGGGCCATAAACCTAAAATTAATATCTGTGTTCGGATTACTGTGTCATAAAGCCGGTTTTCCACTAGGCGAATGTATTCGCACGAATCGAAAGCGTCGTTCACATTTCTATCGAAATTTTCGATTCAGCGAAATTAGTAGTTCGAACCGTTTCTACTTTTTGCGAAGCAAGAAGTGTGCGTAACCAATCAGAGCTCATGAACCGAACTGACGCCTTCGATTCGCTCGAGTAAATTTCCCTAGTGGAAACCGGCTTAAGGCCTATTCACACACTTCCAGTTTTTGTTTTACGACCAGTGTGAATTGAATTCTTTATTGGCCATACTGTTGCTCCACTAAGTCTTGATATGGTAACGCAAATGGTCCCCGATACAAATAAGAATTGGAGAGTCCAGGGAAGAGCCAATTACCGGGAATCTGTAAATGGATTGGAGTTGTGAATTAGGACTCGGATAGGAGAAAGGTCCGAGAGAAATAACGGTACGGGGAGGGACGGTTCTAGGTTGACTAAAGAGTTGCAAGTATAAAATGTTTTTGGACGTTGACAAGTTTACTTGATTAAAGTTGATGTCAACTCAGTGGAAAAAAACGTTACAATATTTTTCGTTTTTTCTGTGTTGTAACTATAAGTTTCCAATCCATGCCATAAGCTGTAGGCCTAACATGATTTCAAATCATTACTGTTATACAGACCTAACTACGCATCGCAATAGAAAATAAATTATTGTAATACTGTACTGGAATGTACTGTGGTTTCAAATTTATGTAGATTTCATATTGGGACGGGTAGATTCCCGGTCGTGGTAGCAGTATGCCACAATATCATAAATGACGTAGGCCTATTTGGACTGAAAATTATTGTTACAAATTTGTTTAATTTTATTGTACTTCCTTCTTAGGTGAATTAAATTGAAGTTATATAAAACAATCAATCAAATTCGTATGACGGCGTGCGAAAAATACCCGAAACAGGACAGTTCACTATTATCGTTAATGACTCCTAATTGTCAATTTATTGTCAGGTTCCGGAGGAAAAATGTTTTGATATGTTGTACAACTGATTTTTCAAAGACACAAAAAGCATATTTTAAACACTTAATTTTAAAGGTGGGGGGACCTACTTTTTTCTACCCTTTTCCACAGTTTTAAATAGGCCTATTTAAAAATCTTACCTCATTAATCGCTTCAAAGTGTTTCCTCAAATATGATTTTTGTGTCTTTTTTTTATCATCTTCAAAGTGTTCCGTATTCATTTGTGAAAGGGCAATTTAATATAATCTCTATTCATACCCTTGGATAGTATTAATTAAACTAAGTGTTTTTGTGGCCAATTTCACCAAATATACTGGACGCACCCACCTGTGTAGCAGATCGTAAATTTTGCAATTCCAGAGAACCGCGTGACAGCAGTATTTTAGCAAAAAGACGCCATTGTTTTATGATTATAGTGTATATTTGTGATGCGTATCAACAAATCCACTACGGTAGGCTTATTAAATGTCTGTTAAAGCAATTGTAACTTGTAATTTGTTGATATGTTCCATTACCAAACAATACGAGTTACCTATTTTGTACTCGTGCATGGCATGGTGGAAACAGACTCGGACGGACGAACGCTGACTTGTTTCGAAAAGAATTCTTGATGTGATTAGTATGCATTTATGTATTTATTGATGTTAGTATGTTATTTTCTCACTGTTGTCCTGTAAATAAATACATTGTGTAATAAAATGCCACCGGCGGGATTCGAACCTGCGACCTCTCGCTGTCAAGACGAGCGTCATAACCATCTAATAGTTTTGACGCTCCAAATAAAAGGCAATAACATATTGTAGTTCACAGTATATGACTAACTAAATTGGCCATTTCAATGTCACTACACAATTAATATTTGTACTATGTATGTCTATATTGCCTTATTGCAAAGATACCTTCGTGGTAATATGATCATTATTTCGGAGAACATCTCCTTAACGCTGTCTCTTATACACATCTAGATGTGTATAAGAGACAGGTCCAGGGAAGAGCCAATTACCGGGAATCTGTAAATTTCAAAAAACAAAATAAATAAATAAATACAAGCTTGGCTTATACAGTTTAATGCCAGTTACAATCCATGATACAGATTGATGTTACAGTGGCCTTATTTATTGTTTTATAGTACAAATTCACAAAATTTACAGCATTAATTCTGAAAAGAAGCCTCCTCTTTACTTTACAGATGTAGTCTAAAAAGGAAGTCCATCTCGTAAAGAGGCTCATCCAAAGTTCGTCAAAAAAAAAGCCATAGGTTTTAATTAGACGTTTTACGGTATTATAGTAGGATACCGTTATCACTAACAGCTGAATTACCTATAGGCCTAATACACGACTCGAGTGTGCGTGCTTTCATTATAATGTGAGAAGTATGAGAAAAGTATTTCTGCACACGAAGTAGGTAAAGTAAATAGAATTTTAATAGTAATAACGATTTTTAAAGCGCAAACATCACCACCAAAAATAGGTGCTCAAGGCGCAGTGTCAAAATAACAAGAAGAGAACAAATACAGAGATTAATTAGATCTCTATGATAGCCGAAAATCACTGTTAAAAAATTATGGTGATTATGATGGCAACTTTATTATAATAAGAGTGTCATTTCCGGCCAGGTACTATTTCCTCAAATTTTCGTATCTCAGCCTCAACTAGGTACATGGCTGCATGTACGATTCCCTCCAGAAACAATACAAACAACTGAAAATTAAAAAAAAAAATTATTGAAGGGATGCTTCATACAATTTTGATATCACATGTTGCTATCCGAACACTGGTATTATAATTTATCTACTTCGAGTTTTATTATTGAATAAATTCATTGGATCCAAACGAAAAGTATGTTGCATCTTAATTTTACACTTGACATTGGATCACCAAAAAGAACCTTCAGAAAATACTTTTTTTTTAAAGATATGGTTACACTGTAGTTAGTCTACTTTATTCTTATTAGCAAGTTCATTAGGAGATGTGTTACACAATCCGATCATTTTCACCTCGGAAACAGTAACATCATAATATGGTCGTGCTTCCCGTTTATATCTTATCCTATTGTTTGTTGCATATAAAATATGTCTACAGTACTTTGATTAGGCCTAATTGCCAAAGAATTGATAGGAAATCAATATCTGACATACATATCGTGGTGCATTCACAAATATATAGCTAGAGGCATTTTTTTAAATTAGTATTTTGTAATAATGCAATAGACATTCGGTGTACTGATATCAATATTGTGTAGTGTAAATGATCGATAGGCCTTTATGTTGGTCATATACTGTGAACATGTGATATTGCATTTTAGTTAAACAAGGTTATTTATCTGTTATTAGGCAGTTTCTCGCCGCACGACGTTAACCCTAACGTTAACGGATGGCGTCATAAGTTATTCATCTTGCGTTGCGGAGTACGTTAATTTCCGGATTTTACGTTAGTTACGGGTTTGCGCATGCGTAATTTGTTTACAAAAGGGGCGGCGCTATCGCGCTGCATGTTGGGTACTAACGCAGTAAGTTAAGGTTAACGTCGTACGGCGAAAATTATACTTAGTGTCAGCTCATTCACCACAAAGCATACCGTACGCATTAGCAACGTCTGCAAGGCAACAACGCAATGTTCGGACCACTATCCAAGCGTAAGTAGACTATTGTAGACTTTGATATATTCTTGTTACAAACTTTTTATGGATTATTATCAATCAGTGGGCATTTTGTATTTGAAAAGAAAAATATATAGTCCTACATTATACGCTTGAGTTTTGATGGTCTAATTTATAAAGCGAGGCTTAGTAGTTTAGTTTTGTGTAACTAATTATTTGCTATTCACTCAACTGTTTACTATTTTTTGTGGATCAAAGGGAACAATGCTGGAGTGGAGTGATAGAATCTTACTTCTCTAGAGGGATATTTGGAGAGTGTGTGCTCGTGAGGGTCTGGTTTGTTATATTATGTGGCAAGGGATGCTTTTGTTTTCAGACTGAAATAATATGTTGCTAAAGGTAATTAATAAGTTAAAACGTCTTCTTTTTCAAGACTGCAAGCATTAGGTAACACAAGACCTTTCTCATGGGTCAGGCTGAGTCAAGTATAATACTCATGCCGAACGTCCTTTTTAATATCAATTTATTCAATATAAAATGAGTGTCAAGCCTGGCAAGCGTACTCCATTGGGGTTGATCGTGATAAGGGTTAAAAAATTTCAGCATTTAGGCCCTACTTCAATATGTATAAAGTAAAATACACGTTTTTTTTTATAAGAACCAGTAAAATCTTGTCCAGATTCAATGTTCTTATCTTTTTGCCGATTTATAGACTCATCCGAATCCGAAAGAGGCTTACAGAGGTCTCAAAGTTCTCAACTGAAAACTTGTTTATGCATTCTTTCTTTTAAATTTGATTATAACTATTTGTTTATTGGTTTACACGAGTTCCTAACATACCGATTACAGAAAGTACAAAACTCTGGTGCCCGAGTTTGTTATTTTACTCCCAGTCAACAGCATTAAACCCATCCTTTAGGATTTAAATTTGGCTCCCTGAAAGAATTACATTTAAACTACCTTTACTTGTTTTTAAGTCACATTTTAACAAAGATTCGTATTTTTGGAGATTTTTTGGTTTGTCAATATGTATGGCTGATAATTTAACGCTATTTCGTCAGGTCCAGGTAATTTACTTTATTTGACCTCATTGACAATTTTCGGAACATTTGTTTGACATGTTGGGTTACATAGGCCTACAGATCGGTATTAACCAGATTTTCCTTAGGATTTTTTCTTTCAAAACTGTCGTCTGTCACAAAATTAGACTTAAAAGGGTCATTAAAATTCTGAGAAATATATGATTGTAAATGAGATATCACTAAAAGTTCCTCTTGAAATAAATACCGTACCTACCCAGGAAAGATATTCTGTGATCATTACACTTAAGCCGTTCGCGACCAGGGGCGTCGGAGCTATTTTTATTGGTCCGGCCAAATATACATACCGGTAATCATCATTGCATAAACATGACGTCTTTTCATTAATTTTGACTTTGTCTATAGCACAAAACACGCATTATTCTATTATATCAATCATTCATTCATACTTGTACTTATAGGGCCTATAATTTAACCATTCATGCTTTATTTATATTTGTCATTATGGAATTTCATAAATATTAGCGTACGTACAAGTAATAGTATAGTTAAACATTGCCTCAACAGTAGAAATGATATTACTTAAAAATGATGTTTTACATAGCCGATGTATTACCATACGGCCTGCTCAGTATGTTGCAAAAATACTATAAATGAATTGACACGTATTCGTCTCAAACCAGGCAATATTGGTTTCAAAGGCTTATTTAATCGATTTTAGAGTCAATTAATATGTAAAAAATACATATAATATTTTCCCCCCGACGAATTTTGCTTTTTCTCTCCGACGGGCGGGGCCAGCTCTCCCCGATGGGGGCCCTGGATCCCCCCTCTGCTGGCGCAACCCCTGGAACCAGGGTCATAGCTCACCTACGGGTTGTACACATGTATATTGGGCGGCCTGGGCCATGTCATAGAAGTCAAAAAAGTGTAAATCGATCAGTTGAATTGATTAATAAGTATCTTATTTTCCCTGGCGTTTGTTCTACCACCCTAACCGGGACTGTTGTAGGGCTTGAGTAGAACCCCTGTAGAAACGTACAGTACCTTTTTCTAATATTTACCTTCCACCCAAAGTTGATTCCCCTGATTCTTATTGCTCTATTGAGTACTTATCACCTGATAGATATGGCGATATAATGGGAATACCTACATAGGCCTATATACAAGATACAAGATTCTTTTATTGTCACTGGTACATAAAATACAAGTAAAATTCGTCTTCCCGATGCAAAAATCAAATAGTATAAAAGTAAGACATATAATAAAAAAATTAATCAAGGTCATAAATAAAACAGAAAATACAAAATGATACGATTATTTACGAGGGTTAGTTACTGAAGTTTATCTATTAAAGTCATCATTGTACATATAGATTGAGTTGTGAATAAAAGATCTTCTTAATCTATTAGTATTGCACTTTATTGGACGTAAGCGACCGGATCTATTAAAGATGTATCGCAAGAACATAGGATGTGACATGTCTTTAATTATGTTATCAAGCTTCTTCAGCACAGTTCTTGTATGTATGTCATCAAAATTATCGACATCAGAGCCGATAGTTTTACTAGTAGATTTCATGGTTCTGAGTATTTTATGTTTATTGACCTGAGATATGGTCCTCCTGCCATTAATATACCAAAACATTACTAAATGATAATAGGGCCTACTAAATAATATACTAACAGTCTGTTAGGCCTATTTGAAAATCTAACGTATTCATCTAGCTTAATTCAAAAGGCATTTAATGGGTGTACTAAATAATGCATAGCATATTGTACCCTGTGTCCCTGTGTATTCATAACACATGTTAATCTAATTAGGATATATATTTTTATGTATTTCACATTATCCGTCAACTCGTATAAATTTAACATGCGCACATTCATATTGCATTATATACGGTAATATAATGTTGCTTCTGCTTCTTGCATTTTGGTTTATTCTTGGAGGAATATACATACTGTATCCTGTTTTATTTAATATAGCATGCTATCGTTATTTTATAGAAAATGCTTGGTTTTTATAGTTTTAATCTTTACTAAAATGGCAAAATGAATAAATTATGACGTCATCCGTTGAAGTTAAGGTTAACGTCGTGTATCGAAAACCCCCTAATAAGAAATCCAGACACCATATAAAGCTGATCATAAATGGATTTAACTTATTTGTCTAATGCGTGACCACAAGACGCAGTTTGCTCATTTGTTTGAAATTAAGACAGTCGACGCATGACATACATTTATCTTGTTGAGAACGCTTTGTTTTGTCAGTCTTGTAGTGAGAGTGGTCATCAAGAAAAAAAATTTAAAGCATTCACGTAGTACTGTTATCTAACTTGTCGTGGAAATCAAGTTTGGAGCTTGGTGGTTCTTATTTCTTTGAATGATGGCCAGGTATGATGAAGGCTAACCCTGGCGATTTCAAGTTCCAGAACATAAAAAAATACTCTCAATTATGAAAAGTGTAGGCTGTGTCACCGAGACCTATGACGATAAGTGCCCAAACGTTTACAAAAACGTAATGCAATGATGGCATGTTGACTGCTATTCTGTGTTTTCGGAAAATGTATCAGCCGCTCCAAATCTCTTTCCTATGTTTCCTTCTTTCTGTAATTTTTCACAATTTGCGTTTATTCATACTTTTTATTCCTAATTTTATACACTCACATAATCACTGGTTTAGGCATATAGACTTCGGCTATGCCTATATACTACCGGTACCTTATCGCCACTGCGTAACTTCCCCTATCTCCTCTGAAACCACTGGCAGGAATGTGCTCACATCTCATACACTGGAGCTTCTATGTCATGACCACATTCCGCTACTTTTTAAGGCTGGATATTCGATAACGACGGAAAAAACAGCCAAAAACCACAGAAAATTCAGCACAGTTCTTGTAAAGTCATCAAAATTGTCGACATCAGAGCCGATAGTTTTACGAGTAGATTTCATGGTTCTGAGTATTTTATGTTTATTGAACTGAGATATGGTCCTCCTGCCATTAATATACCAAAACTTTACTAAATGATAATAGGGCCTAATATACTAGCAGTCTGTTAGGCCTATTTGAAAATCTAACGTATTCATCTAGCTTAATTCAAAAGGCATTTAATGGGTTTACTAAATAATGCATAGCATATTGTACCCTGTGTCCCTGTGTATTCATAACACATCTAATTAGGATATATATTTTTATGAATTTCACAATATCCGTCAACTCGTATAAATTTAACATGCGCACATTCATATTGCATTATCTACGGTAATATAATGTTGCTTCTGCTTCTTGCATTTTGGTTTATTCTTGGAGGTTAATATACATACTGTATCCTGTTTTATTTAATATAGCATGCTATCGTTATTTTATAGAAAATGCTTGGTTTATATAGTTTTAATCTTTACTAAAATGGCTGGTCTATTTCTGAGATACACATAGTACATTTTAAACAGTTAAACAGTGATTTTTATTTTGGCGTACTGCTATTTTAAATTGTTCAATATCTTAACGTATTTCTCCTCATTGCCAAAATGTTTTGTCGTGTGATTTTTAATGTAATTTTATCCTTCTTAACCAAGACAAAACAAAGGAAAAACAAATTCCTATTTTAAAATGGACAATAAGTGTTCTTGAATTAAGAATTTTTTTTAAAGTATTTCACAACATCCGTTAACTTGTATAAATGTAATAGACCTATAGTCATTGTTATTCATATTGCATTAGGCCTATATAATGCGTTCGTATTTTTTGCACTTTATTTATTCATTCATTGAGGAATAAGCATCTCATTTATTATAATTATTGAATTGATAAGACAGTGAAATTACTGTTCCCTGGTTTGACTGCGTTAGAGAAAGAATTTGGCCTACAAATGGAGTTGTAAATTATTGGTCCGGCCAAAACCGGACCAGCTGGACCGCTTCCGACTCCCTTGGCGACGGTCGTCGGCCGACGATTCTAGAACGCAACACGACGACTCAGATACTCAGATACTTTAATTCGTTTATGCAATCGTATGCAATCGTACAGAAATTTGTTTTCCGCCAGCCTTAAAAACCAAAAACAACGAATCAACACCATGCAGTAGTAATATATAAATCAGCTTAAAGACATTTTAAGAAGAAAACGAAAACACTATAAACTTGCCACTACCATCACCGTGAAACGCTGGAATTAAACATGTGAATGGCATCGGGCAGGAATTAGGAATATCTATGTCGATTTCTTTTCGTACAAATAAGATTAAGTCGGATACCAGACCTGTTAAAAGACAATAAATTAAAAATACGGTTTAATTGTGCAACTGTACAATCCTCATACAAGCTTGTGATTGAAGGTAGTTTTCCATACCAATAATACGACTAGCACATTTCCTAACCTTATCAAGCGTGTTTTTATTTTGTTTATTATTAAACTAAACACAAACAGCAATATGCAAAGTGCTTTCAATAACGGATTAGCCTAGTATAGAGAGAGAGAGAGAGATGCAAGAGAACACGATCTAAAAGAAGAGATTTCATTTTACGTAAAAACGTACATTTAGGCCTACTACTAACTTCAACGGATCGTTGTTAATAACAGTACGTTTAGACTGCCACCGCTAGTCAACAAGACGGCATCGCGTCGCCTAGCTCTCACAGGGAGCGGAGTACTGTATTCGTCGTGCGACGGTCGTACGACGCATGCGTGCCCGGCTTTATGTGCAAGACTTCCAAAAATCTTAAACATAAAGTGAATTTCGTATTCACCTTTCAGTTAATTTCTGTTTGTTTAAATTTTTCTATCTACGAGCTACCTCATAAATCCAACTTTGGTTTGTATTAGCTTTAACAAGTATGGCGCAATCCACGTATTTTGGGATGTGTTTTTCTTTGAATTTTGAAATTACGCTATTGACATTACAAGTAAATTTTGTCTTGAAATCGTCACATACATATTTGACATCGTCATTAATAACTAAAATGAATCCTGTAGTGGAGGCAAAGATGTTGACTTCAACTGGGCGACTTTGCTGAAACAGTACCGGTAATTTAGGTAAAATAAAATGCCCTCGTATCATACATACAGGGATGACAGCTAGGTCTAACATTAAAAACTAGATCAGAATTTCAGAATTATTTGTATACACTAAAAAAAAAAAAAAAAAAAAAAAAAAAAAAAAAAAAAAAAATTTTTAATACACAAGTATAAGATATTGTGACCGTATAGTGTTCTATGAAATACTAGGGAGTTTTCGATGCACGACGTTAAACTCAACTTTAATGTTAGTACCCAACGTGCAGTGCGATAGCTCCGCCACTTTCGTAAACAAATTAAAATACGCATGCGTAAACCTGAGCACGTAATTTTCTGAAATTAACGTACTCCGCAACAGAAGATGAATAAATTATGACGTCATCCGTTGAAGTTAAGGTTAACGTCGTGCATCGAAAACTCCCTACTAAGAAATCCAGACACCATATAAAGCTGATCATAATGGATTTTATTTGTCTAATGCGTGACCACAAGACGCAGTTTGCTCATTTGTTTGAAATTAAGACAGTCGACGCATGACATACATTTATCTTGTTGAGAACGCTTTGTTTTGTCAGTCTTGTAGTGAGAGTGGTCATCAAGAAAAAAAATTTAAAGCATTCACGTAGTACTGTTATCTAACTTGTCGTGGAAATCAAGTTTGGAGCTTGGTGGTTCTTATTTCTTTGAATGATGGCCAGGTATGATGAAGGCTAACCCTGGCGATTTCAAGTTCCAGAACATAAAAAAATACTCTCAATTATGAAAAGTGTAGGCTGTGTCACCGAGACCTATGACGATAAGTGCCCAAACGTTTACAAAAACGTAATGCAATGATGGCATGTTGACTGCTATTCTGTGTTTTCGGAAAATGTATCAGCCGCTCCAAATCTCTTTCCTATGTTTCCTTCTTTCTGTAATTTTTCACAATTTGCGTTTATTCATACTTTTTATTCCTAATTTTATACACTCACATAATCACTGGTTTAGGCATATAGACTTCGGCTATGCCTATATACTACCGGTACCTTATCGCCACTGCGTAACTTCCCCTATCTCCTCTGAAACCACTGGCAGGAATGTGCTCACATCTCATACACTGGAGCTTCTATGTCATGACCACATTCCGCTACTTTTTAAGGCTGGATATTCGATAACGGCGAAAAAAAAAAACAGTCAAAAACCACCGACAATCAGTACCTGTTTCACCATGTTTCGCAAGTTGCTTACGTCCCGTAAATACAATTAATCACATCTATTCTGTACTGCAATGCTTAGGTCTAAATATTATCGAGTCCGGCCGTAAAAGAACCAGTCTATGTTTTGCAGCTTCATTACGTCACCGCCCGGTACTTCCAAAGTACCAATTCGCAAATCGATCTCTAATTTTTCTCTACCCAAATACTTTGCAACTTTCCTAATTTACGTAGGCGAGAGCCAATCAGCATTCAGAATTACTTTGGGAAGAAATCAAATTAACATATGAGGCAAGAGCTAATCAGCGTTTAGAATGATAACTTTTGGAAGAAATCTATTTAAGATACAAGGCAAAAGCCAATCAACATTAATGGGTTAATTAATTTTATACAAGGGTAAAATTAAGCAAGATAGACTACCAATTTCGTTACATTATATTATTTGGCCTAAATTCAGTTTATTTTATATGTCTTTTAATTCCATATCGTACAAAAATATTTTTGGACACACAAATTTGGTGTAACTAACAATTGAATTTTATTTGATTCGTTTCTATTGCTCTTCCTATTCGCAGATGCCATATACCTATGCTGGCTTTACATAGTAAGCGTATTGTTGGGAATTCCATGTAGAGCACAGAGTAAGCTATGAGTTGTTACTGTAGTTATTGTATTTCAATTCACTCCTTTCTGTATTATTATTATTATTATTATTATTATTATTATTATTATTATTATTGTTATTGTTATTGTTATTGTTATTGTTATTGTTATTATTATTATTATTATTATTATTTTTATTGTTATTGTTATTGTTATTATTGTTATTACTATTATAAGTTTTAATTGTTATTGTTATTACTATTATAAGTTTTAATTGTTACTGTAGTTATTTTATTTCAATTCACTCCTTTTTGTATTATTATTATTATTATTATTATTATTATTGTTATTGTTATTGTTATTATTATTATTATTATTATTATTATTATTATTATTATTATTATTATTATTGTTATTGGTTGTAATGTCCTTGAAAATGTCTTTGTTTTTAAACTATTAGGCATCTGGATTCAGAATGATTTGAAATGGGAAACTCATGTGAATATGATTGTTTAAGGCTAGTCAAAGGATCCATATGCTTGGGAGATTAAAAAAAATTGGTGTTCCCCTTAATGACATTGTCGAAATATTTAAAACTTATGTACGTCGAAGTGTGGAATATGGCATACCTATTTGGTATCCTGGCCTTACAGTGAAACAACCAAATTATATTGAATCAATTCAAAAGCGTGCCTGCAGAATAATTCTTGGGAATCGCTATTTTGGCTATCTTAATGGCATGTCATTGTGTAATCTAAGTCTTCTAAGTGATAGAAGGCATGAGCTTTGCATTTCCTTTGCTTAATCGTGTATTAAATCTGATCGTTTCCACAAGTGGTTCATTGTCAAGGAATACAACATGCCTTTAAGAACCACCACTGCCGTGAAATACGTTGAGCCCGGATGTACAAACAGATACAAAAATAGTACTATCCCTTACTTGATACGTGCACATAATTGTATTACCTATAATTCATTTTTCCCCTTTTTTGGCAAATTTTGATAACAATTTTTCTTCAACCTGCAGACAGTCCTCCCCCCTCCCCCACCCCCTTTTCATTTTTTTTTCTTTTCGAATGTTGTATTTTTAAATTTGATTCTTGATTATCCATTTTATTGTATTTATTACTTATATTCACTATCATTATTGCATTTTTAACAATTTAATTCTATATAAATATATGTATTTTTAACCTACCCATTTTTCATGTTTTCTAGTTTTAATGTTTTTTAATGACACTGTAATTTTTTTAACGTAAATGTACAGTAATTTGTAAATCTCTTGTAATTCAGCCTTTTGGCTGCTACTGGAAGATCAATAAAGAATAAAGGGAAAAAAGGTTTATAATGCAAAATTATATATCTCTTAAGGTTGTAAGCTGGAGGTTGCCAACCTCACAGTTAGTAGTAGAATTCCTGACTTAATGTGTGGTGGAGGATGGTTCGCGGCATATAATGACCCGACTCCATGGATTATAGCCGACCTCGGGGCTGTAAAATCAGTTACTGGAGTTGTAACAAAAGGATGCAACTATATGTTCGTAAAATCTTATAAAGTTTATTACAGTATCAATGGTACCAACTTTCGAGCGGTACTAACTGAAAGAGGTGAGGTCCAGGTAAGCTGATTTTTAATTATGCAGCATCGCAACGAGGCATCTTGTTGTGAAGCTGTCATATCCGTGCTGCTGCAGTTAATCCACATTAGGGAGCTTTTCATTGGCGCGACGGCGCGATGCTAGAACGGAATCACTCATGCGTGACAGTCCTGCTGGGCGTTCTACGTCTTCTGCATACTTCAAATTGCGTCCTAGAATCCATGAGACGAGGAGCACTTACGTTCTCGCTTGCTCAGCTCAGATGACTTAGTGATGTCATTAAGTGTTACATCCTACGTCGTCGTACAGTCAAAATCTCTATTATTTTCCTACTTATTTTCTATTTCAATAGTATGCTGGTAAGAATATATATTGGTATCTTTTCTTTTTTTTTTTTTTTTTAATTGAAGATAAAATTTCCTGGCTGCCCAAGGTCAAAATGATTAAATATTTAATTTTAATAAAATGCTATCTAAAAATATTTTACATGAAACACCCAGCAATTCAAAATTAGTGAATACTTCAAATTGACGATCAGCAATAATATAATAGAGCAGATCTGGGAGAATATGAATGAAATGTTCTCATTTGCATACAAGGCTGTGGATATTACGACTGGGAATGAGAAGAATGCAATTCATGTATACTTGATTTCGCCTGTATTGTCCAGCAGTTACATCGAAAATCGTTCACTTTGTGATAAAAGCATGAAACTTAGCACACATGTACTATGAACTATAGTGAATATTTTCAGGTAGACTCACGTCAACAGCACCTCTATTGGCCAGAAATTGTACATGTCCATTTTTAACAGCGCCCTTTAGTGGTCAAAAACAAAAATTTCTATTATAACCATATTTATGTAGGAAATACTTGTATTACAAATTCTTTACTTATAAATATATTCAGTCTTTTAACGTAAAAAAATCCAATTTTAGTGCCAACAAGATGAACATTTGTAAAATTGTATTGGAATATGCGACGTGTTTTTATAAACCTCAGTTTGAGTGGCAAAACATTGAAATTTTTTTTTTAATAATTCTATTTTTAATTAACTTTTGAATGGTATATACTTTGTTAGGTAAATTTTGCTATAATCTCTAAGGATTGTGTAAAAAATGATAATCCAATTCAGCTTTAATGAAGCGTAGGGATATCTTCTCATACTTCCTAAGCAAACAAATTGGCAGGTCTTCCGAACTAAAATCCTTAATGATGGAACCAAACGGACGCAAATTGATGAAAAATACAACACATTTTAAGAAAAGTACTAAGGATTTAATTGTAGTAAACATGTTTCGGGTGTTCTCTCTCACCCATCATCAGTACAAACTGAAAGGCGAAATAAACGGAAAGAAAAACCTTGTCATTCTTAACTAAGAGTATTTATACAAAGAATGAATGAATATTAATTAGTGAAAACAAATTGTTACCAATTAAGGTAACGTAACGATCGTTCTAGATAATCATATGCAAGGTGTATAGAACACCTTGCATACATTAGTACTGTATGCTAATTGAAAAGTTGTAAGCGTAAATGTTTGAGTTGAACGTTGAGATTTGGACTGTTCCATTTAATGTGTAGTGATTCTTTTATTCGTAATCTAATTTCACTGTTGTCCTGGTCAATGACGTTGAAGCAAGTGGTATTAGCTAATGTTTTGCATTTTTTATTTTCATTTAGATGTTTTAAAATGTGTGAATTTTTGTCTTTTGAATAATCTCTAAGGAATAAATAAAATCAAGGTCGGTAGCACAACTGAGAAACCACTGTGTACAAAGTACGCATGATCAGCACATACAGTGAAAAACTACTCTGTGTGCTTAGTAATTGCAGCAAGTATTTTAAAATGTATCAAAACTGTAACAAGTAGTTGCCAGGCAATATAAAAATTCAGCCATGTTAACAAAAATTGAGAATATATTTAACCTGATGTTCTATTAAATAATATCACTAGAGACTTTTACTCTACTTCCGTGAAAATACTGTAGGTCATGTAGTAACATAATTTTGACCTTTTATTATTAACATCATAAGGAAGGCTTTTTAATCTTAATAGCAGCTACAGTAGACATGGATTTTCCGTATTCGGTATTTAGGAGCATAGGGCTACTGTAACAAAATATATTTTAATATTTATCTCAGATATTGTACTTTGCACTAAAGTATTCTTTTCCGCAGGTGAAACAAGCTGAGCCACAAATAAGTACATTTGAAGGCATTATATTAATACAATAGAACCCCTTTATAGACGAATCCAAGAAGAATGGCGCCCTTTGTTGTCCACGCCATTACTGGTGAGCCCCGGAGTCGTCCCTACACCTAAGCCTAGTCCTAAAATGTCAGTCGGGTGTGGTTATAAACACAGTACCATTGAGAAATCCGGCTTTATATTTTGCAGCTGAATAATGCCGTCAAAACTAAACTAAAACTTTATCAAAGTCATAGTTCGTGTATTTAAACATTTCACAACTTCGAAATTGCTACCTCAGTAATGGCGTCGACAAAAAATGACGACGTTCAAAAGTTGTCTTGGATTTTTTTATGGGGACACCCCTATTGGGAACGATTTCTGGATCTGGATTTCGCGCCAATTAAAAATGAAGGCTGCGGCGCGATTTTCTACCTCAGATATTGGAAGTATCATCCGGAAGTAGGGAGAAGTAAATAAAGATTGAATAAAAGAATAAAGAGAATAAAATAAATACATGTAACCTAATGCGGGGCTCTTGCAGGTACCAGGAGCTCATGTTGTGCAAGGCTGCTCAATTTCTTGGGTAAGGCCATTAGCCTAATAATAAAGAGCCATACCAGTTTAACCGTTGCCCTACCAACCACAGAAAAAAATAAGCTATACTGCAATAAAAACCCCATGGCTTTATGAAATACAATAAAATAGATAAGATTGGTGGAATAGGTGATTACATTGGGTGTGTAAGCTGAGACGAAAGCATGCCAAAAACCCCTATAAAGTTACGTTTTTGGTTACTGTGTTCCCTGAATAGAGGTAGCCCTATTCGGGGGATACCACTATTAAGGGGGACACTTTTTTAAGCCAGGTACTCGCTGCCGGCGTGATAATTCTATGAACAACGTAACGCGACGACGCGTGCGCAGCGGATCGTTTATAAATGACGATGAATTCAGATGGCATCTCCGAGGCAGTGAGTGCATGACATAAAGCATAAAAACTTATATTATACTCATCACTGTGTATTTATTTGCAGGAGTTCAATGGAAACACGGATGATGCTCGAAATTCAAGAGTGACTAATGAATTCTCTATTATCTTCGCTCAATTTGTCCGCATCAATATAACCGGTGCATCGAAGGGCTATTATTTAACATTTGAACTTCTGGGCCCATGCTCAGGTAAGTATCGTAGTCTCACTGAGATATATTCAACCTTCATTTTTCTTAAATTCACTATTATGGCCCTTGGATTCATAGTTCATAGTTCATATTTATTCACCGTTTAAAGAAAAAAAATTCCATCGAGATACATTTTTATATATTGAATTAAAAGCAAATGGTAGGGAATGACCAATATAATATATGTATGCTGTCTCTTATACACATCTAGATGTGTATAAGAGACAGTCCAATACTAGTGTAAAGTTGCATGTTCCGACAGAGAAAGAATGGTGCAGTTAATCGCCACAGGCATCATTAAGCACTTTGTATTTTTAAGACGAGTAAATGAAATGAAATGAAACTGCTCAAGCAATTTAACACAGGCAGTATATGTAATTTTATAATGCAAAATTATACATTTCTTAAGTTTGTAAGCTAGAGGTTGCCAACCTCACAGTTAGTAGTAGATCTCCTGTCGAAGTATGCGATAGAGGATGGTTGCCCGAATTATTTAATGACCCGACTCCATGGATTATAGCCGACATCGGGGCTGTAAAATCAGTTACTAGTGTTGTAACAAATGGATGTAACTATATGTTCGTTAAATCTTATAAAGTTTATTACAGAATCAACGGTACCAACTTTCGAGCGGTATTGACAGGGAGGTGAGGTCCGGGTAAGCTGATTCAACTATGCAGCATCGCAACATCTTGTTCTGAACCTATGCTGCTGCAGTTAATCCACATTAGGGAGCTTTTGATTGGCGCGACGTTAGAAAGGAATCACTCATGCGAGACAGTCCTGCTGGGAATTTTACGTTCTCTGCATACTACAAATTGCGTCCTAGAATCCACGAGACGAGGAGCACTTACGTGATGACTTAGTGACGTCATTACGTGTTACATCCTACGTCATCATAAAGTCAAAAGCTCTATTTTTTTCTACTTTTGTTTCTCTATTTCAATAGTATAAGGTATAACATAATGAAATGCTGGTAAGAATATATTTCGGTATCTTTTTTATTTTTTATTGAAGATAAAGTTTCCTTGCAGCCAATGGCTGAATTTTTTTTACATGTGCCCAAGGTCCAAATGATTAAATATTTAATTTTTATAAAATGTTATTTAAAAATATTATAATATATGAAACACCCAGTAATTCAAAATTAGTGAATACTTCAAATTGACGATCAACAATTATATAATAGAGCATATCTGTGAGAATATGAATGAAATGTACTCATTTGCATACAAGGCTGTGGATATTACGACTGGGAATGAGAAGAATGCAATTCATGTATCATCCTTGATTTCGCCAGTATAGTCCAGCAGTTACATCGAAAAATCGTTCAGTTTGCGATACAAGCAAGAAACTTAGCACACATGTACTATGAACTAATTTTCTTTTTTTTCCCCATTAAAACAAATTAGGAGGGAGGACCTTGAATCTACTGCTCCCTGCTCAAAACATTCTTTATCAAATATAGTCA